ATTATCCTGCCCAAGACGCTAATAGTACCAAAGCTGAGAGACCCTGAATCCATGTCTGAGGGTGTGGGGTTTCCTGGAGTCGAAGCCCCTTTAGTTGCTAAGAAGATTGGTCCTGAAACTGTCACCACTCTGGCCCTGAAACTGTCACCACTCCTCTCACCCTCAAGGGATATGAATCACCAGAGAGGCTCCAGTGCAAAGGCAGGTCGGGATTCCGCAAGTCTGAGTACGACGCCTTGGCCACTGGCCACAGGTCACACTCTTAGTAGTGAGGAATTTTGAGTGTACCCATAATTCCTCCCATAGCCTCTCCCCTCTCCCTCTCTTTCCAGCCCCAACCCCCACCCTTCCCTGTCCTGCCCTGTTCGAACATTCCGTGCCTTGTCACTGAGAAACATGTGGTGTTGGTTAAACCCCACTGCCCAGATGACAGCTTCTCTCCAGCTGTTGCCAATTTGAAATTCTGAGTGTTGATGAAATCAATGGACTTAGTTGGAAAAAGGATCCCAAGGGACCTGATCAAACTACCCCTCCCCCACCACACACACATACACACACACTTGAATCAGCCTGTCCCTCAAAGACATATTTTCGCAAGCTCTGAGATACTTAAACGGTGAGAGCTCACGACTTTGGGGTTGCTTAAGCTTGGTACAGCTTCCCGGCGCTTCCAGGCTCTAAACCAGAGGTTGACGGTTTCTAGAAAGGACCAGATAATAAATATTTCAGGCTTCGTAGGTCCTATGGTCTCTGACATGACTGCTCATTCCCGCCATTGTAGTGGGAGAGCAGCTCTAGACCGTATGGGGGTAGTCCTGTTCCAATAAAACTTTATTGACAAAAGCAAGTAGTGATCTGAATTTGGACCAGGGGCTCTACTTTGCAGACCCCTCTTCCAAACAATTCCTATTCATGTCTCTGCTTCAGGGGGAGGAAAAAAAAGTCAGAAAGGGAAAACCCTACTGCGAGCGAACTAAATCATCATTGTGAGTCGTAAATGTCTGGAAGGCTAAGGTGAGCAGTTCCTCTTTCTTTTTACAGAAATGTAAAATGGGGATGCACTGTTTAGTTTGGCAGAAACACAACTCTGTCCTTCTGTGCCAGTTTCTTTGGAGGGGAGGGATAGGACTAGGAAGGGCAATAACTAAGGAACAGAAAGATGCAGCGAAAGGGCTGCGTTACCTTGAAGTCTGCATTGTCTTCTCTCTGGACTTGAGCACACATATACCTTCTGGTCTCAGAATAAAGAGAGGGAGGGAACACCGCAAAAATTGCCTTTCTTCCATCACACCCAGGGCATCCTTTGAGGGTATTGATTTTTCTTGCTGTCCCCAGCTTCTCTGAGACCTTCCATTGGCAGTGCGGGTTTATTGCACATTCTGACACGCTGGCGTTGCTTACAGAAGCCCGGCTGTAGCTTTGTCCTGACTGTTTAACCACAGAGGAGCACAGGCGACATTCCACGAAGCCCTCTCCTTGTTGGGGCAAGGCCTGCAGTGCTAACAGAAGCCTGCAGCCCCTGGGCATTTGCTCTGGGCCACAACGATCGCTGGGCTAAGGATAAATGGAAGCCACTAGCTTCACAGTCCCCATGGAGCATGGCTCACAGATTCTGCATTATTTGGGGAGGAAAAGACCCTCTCCGCCTAGTAAGAAAACAGAGTTCCCCTGGAGAAGGAATGACTTTGCCTCCATGGCTCATGAAGTCGATTGGGATTCTGCAGGCAGGTTTTCCAGCATGTGTTGGGGCCCTGTGATCATGCCAGTGTCACCTGTGGGGTCAGACTCTACAGGCTCCAAAGGGGAATTGAGTGGGCGGTCTCCGCCTCCCCCACCTCACCTCGCTTGCGGGCACACATGTGCACACATCCCGGCTTGGGCAGCAAGGGAAGTAATGTGTGTCTGTTGCAGCAGGAGAGAGTGACCTGGGAGAGCCGCATTTGGTTGGACTCTGTCAGTAGCCGGTGATTGGATACGGAGACTCGGGCTGCACACAGATAAATGGAGTAAAGACGTGAATTTCCTCCGCGTAGAGAAGTAGTCCCAGGTGCAGTTTGGAGGCGCAAATTATTTTAACAGTGGCACATCTTCAGTGAACATTGCCATTTCTCTGGCCTGGGTGGGGGGTTGGGGGGGGTCGTCTTTCTCAGATTCTTTCATTCATAGGATCTATACCTTCAAGCATTTGTTTGCCTTTACAGTTGGCTGGGTACAAAACTCTTGGGGCACGCTTCCTTTCGTTGGCAGTTTGCGGTCTTGCTTCCTGCTTTCTTCCTGCATGTAGAGTACCGCAGTACCAGGCGGCCAGTTGAGAGCTGGCTAACAGGAGTCCATTCTTGCCCTCTTGGAAGTTCTAGACTACCCCAGGAGTTAAAGGTGCCCTAGAGACAACACAAAATTCCTGCAGCTGTGATAAGGCTTAACAAGGGAAAGTACATTTGTCCTCATCTAGTGGCACTACAACTTCCAAACTCAGATACTGTTGTTATACCCATTTTAGAGATGTGTCTCTAGAGGTTCAAAGATTGCCCCCAGTCACCCAGCCCCAGAGGTGGCTCTCCAGTTTGGCTCGCAGGGAGGGAGGGACGGTTTCCCAAGTTGAGGTGTGATCTGTGATCATCTCGGGGGCTTGGAAGCTGCTAATTTAGACATATCTCCAGAACTGTGATTAATAAGCCCAAACACTTTGTGCAGATCGAGGAGCTAATTATAAACCACCCGTTCCTCAGCTTTAAAATTGGAGAGGCCCCAGATGATAGGGCGCCTAAAGAAGCACCAGAGACAATGAGATTGACAGGTGTGACCATGTGTTTCTGTTCCCCCGGTTGGCAACCACCGTCTGAATTACAATTGGTTGTTCCTTAAGTCCTGGCCCACTCCAGGTCAGAGGGTAGCTGCTTTTTTCCTAGCTGTGGCAGTGTGAGGCTTCATTGACCTTGACTGCACAAATATTTACTGAGCACCAGTGGAGCACTCCTGGTTCTGGGGTAGTCTGGTGAGCAGGGAACATGATCCTTGCTCCCAGGGGACATCCATTCAACTGCAAACATATGAACTTAAGAAAACAAGTCAGGGTGGGGACCTTAGAAGTCAAGGCTACAAAGCAACTGGTTGTTGTGGGGGACAGCTTGCTACTTGAGAAAGAGCGATCAGGGCAGGTATCTCGGAAGAGGTGACATTAATGATGAAGAGAAGTCAGCAATGCAGAGGGGAGGGCTTTCCAAGGAGGGCTGGAATGAGCTGGCTGGTGGTGAAATGTATTGCTGAATCCGTGTAAACTGGAAAGAGCATTTGGTGGGTGATCTTGGAGGCCCTTCGGGGTCTTTAGATCTGCGTCAGGACTCTGGACTTTGCCAAGAATGAAATTAACCACAGAGACACCTGTTTAGCGGCAAATGCATGATTGTTGCCCATCGGTGGGCCACATTGGCCATTCTGTTCATGTTCTACGAGCAAGAGGACCCTGGAGACAAATCTGAGTTAATCAATCAGAAGGTTTATTCCTAAGTAAATTAATGTATTAATAATGTCTGCAGTGAGCAGGTAGCATTTGCAATCCCAGCCCCATGTCCCCGAGGGAGTAGCCTGTGTTTGGGATAAGTGAGATTAACAGTAGGCTGTGGGTTGAGCACCAGGACCCCTCCTGCTCTTGACAGAGCATTTTCCTGTGTAGGGGAGGGTTGAGATGGTTAGGGTTATCCTGAGATCACAACACGAATCAGCAAGATCACCTCCCAGTGGGACTGAAACTGCCCTTCTTTATGTTAACCTCCTCATCGAAATAAGAATCTGTTCACATAACGTGATGTCCTCAGAAATGACAGGCTTTGGGGCATCTAAAAGACAGGGTCAGGAAAACAGCTCGTGTGGGAATTTACAGTGTTTGCTCGCTTGTTGATGCCAACGCTGATTCCACTCCAGAGCTGGAGGAGAAAGCCCAGCAGAGATCACTGAGCCCACCTGTACAGCTTTTGCTTTTCCCTGTGATTTTGAAGAATTTTTTCCTTCCCTACTGGATGGAGTTCGTCTGCCCCGACAACTCATTCATCATCCTTGCTTGCCGACCCGTCCCCTCCGCCCTCAGGTTGGGGAGGTTCTGGAAGTGATTAGGCTGTTGTAAATCAGCTTTTATGATGTGTGTGTCAGAGATAAGCAGCAGAGAAAGGGGGAGTTAAAGAACTCATCCCCTCCTGCCCTGACAGTTACCCCAGTAATGGAATTAAAAAATCTATATGAAAGTACCATGGTTGGCAGAATGGTTTCTCTGCAGGCATATCCAGCATTTAAATGTGGCTCTGCTTTATTTTTCTGCCTTGTTATTGAGGTCTGACTTATATATAAGATAAAGCAAACAAAATATTAAATTGCACCTCAAGAAATTTTTCCGTGTGTATCCTTTTATAACCATCACCCAGATCTGGATATAGAACATCTCCAGCACCCTCGAAGTTTCCCTTTATGTCCCTTCCCACTGCCTTGATCTCTGCCACCAAACACAACCTCAGCTCTTGAACTCCATACAGATGGGATCACACAACATGTACTCTTTTATGTCTGCCAGCATTTTCTGTGACATTCATCCCTGTTACTGTGTATCATTGTTCATTCTCGTCGTCGTGTGGAATTCCGCCGTATGATGGTTTCTCAGCTGTGGCATGACTGGTCCTCCCGGGCTGGATAATTTTCTGTTGTGGGGACTGCCCAGTTTGTCCACCGTGAGGTGCTCAACAACGTCTCTCTGGCCTCTGTCCATTAGATGCCAACAGCGTACACCACCCACCCCCCTCCCAACCCCCAGGAACGTCCCTGAGCATGGAAAACCAAACCATTGTATATGCATACACTGCTCGTTTTAAGAAACTTTTTATTTGGCAATAATTTCAGACTAACTGAAATCAGTCGTTCCACAGCTATGCTCTCTAACATTCTCACCAAAGAACAGGTTCCAGAGGGATCAGATGTTCTACACAGTTGCCATGATTCCTTTGTGTTCTTCGGCATAGAACATTCCCTCAGACTTTTATGGTACTGGGAAAAAAAAAAAGTTTTAAGGATATAATCCCTTTTTTTTTTTTCTTAATAGAATTTTCCTCATTTGGGCGCTTATCTAATGTTTCCTTCAGAATCCGCTCGGGAAATGTTCCTGACTAGAACAGTGTGTGGGTGACAGTGTGTCCTTCTTAGGACCTACGTTGGGAGGCACACAGTGTCCAGTTCTGCCTCATCAATGATGTTAAGTTTGATCTCCCGGTCAAAGTGCTATCTGATTTCTCTGTTGTGTAGTTATTAAATATTTCCTTACAAACTAATATGGAGAAATACTTAACACCATGCAAATATCCTGCTCCCCCATCAAATTTTACCCCCTGACTTGAGCATAATTTGACTCTTGTTGTGAATCAATCTTTATGTACAGTGGTTACAAAATGGTGGTCTTCCAAATCCAGCACCCCCTCTCTGCTCAACATTGTCCTGTGTACAAGAGCCCAGTCTTCCCCATTTATTTATTGGGGCGTTTATGGACTTATTTCCTCCTTTTTCAATGGTTTATAAATCATTACTGTTTTAATGTTTTGATGCTCACGTTGCTCAGCTTTGGCGAGAGAGAACCCCTCATTTTTTCATATGTAATACTTCCTTCCTTTCTGGCGTAGTGAGATGTTCTATGCTCCTACCTTACCTTCCCTCCTCCTGTCCCGGAATCGGCCATCTCTCCAGACTCCTCATTCCTTTTAAGGGGGATTGGTATAAAATACATTTTACTGATCCTTTTTCCTGTTAATTGACATCTGAGTTATTTATAGTTCTAAGCTACTCTAAAGAAAGCTTCTCGGAATAGCCTTGCACATTTTTGGGACCTATAAACTAATTTCTGTTTGGTGTATAATCAAGAGTAACAATGAAAAATTGTAGCATCTCCACTCTGATTGTACACCCAACAGAAATAATCCATAAGTCCACACACGCACACACCCAAAAGGACACAAATTGTTCCAAGCAACTCATTGATAGTGTGTGTGTGTGTGTGTGTGTGTGTGTGTGTGTGTATTTAGCATAAACAGATACTGCTAAGTAGTTTTTCAAAGTGTTCATAACACTAGTTTTGTCCGGGGGTTGGAAGTTGTTGGCCCCCAGCAGCTGGGGAAGAAGAATCAGTAGCCTGGGTCATACTGGGCCATTGTAATCCAAAGGCATGTTTTCTGCAACCAGCAATGGCAAAATGGCTCATCTTCCAACAGGTAATGAGTGAAAATGCTGAGCTTTTACCACTGGGGCCATTCTTAAGCTTCTCTTTTGAGAGTGCTGCTTTAGGGCGGGCAGCATGGAAGCTACTCAGGTCAAGAATCCCCTGCTACTTGCAAAATGGTTTTCATTTAAGTGGTGCCATTGATAGCCTTTAGGGACTGCAGGCCCATTGCTAGAGAGATACCCACTGGTCATGGTGTTTTAAAAAGTGCCTCCCCCAGGGGAGAAGGAGTATCCCAGAGTCCCACTCACATCTTCTGGCTGTTCAGGGCCAGTTTAAAACCCTGGAGCAGTCATTCACTAAAGAGCCTGAGAGAGTAAATGTCCCTCAGTATACACCCAGGGAGCCACTTAGTGTTCCAGACATCTGAGCTGTGGAGCTCAGGGACGGCAGGTGCAGGGGGAAGCTGCTGGAGGCTAACAGGAAAGTGAGTTGCTCTGGTTTCAGGAGATTAGATGCGAGGCTCAGTGTTGATAGGAACTGTTTGGGCATGGCCCAGCCTGTGTCACTGAAACCTTCCATGTCCAGAATATCTGTGCCATGTACTTACAGTGCAGCCTTAGATCAAAGAGGTAATTGAAGCACTTTGTAAAGTGAAATTCTAAACAGAAGAAGCATGCATGAGATGCACAGTGGGCTCCTAGTGACTTTAGTGAGCCTTTGGAGGAATTAGTAACTAGTAACATATACCTGTGCAGATGCATTTTAACCAGGTGTCCTCTCTCGGTGGGCACCACCCCCCTGTGGAGTGGGGAGAAAGCTCTCCCAAACATTCTGAGAGCACCTTTGTGCAGTGTACAACTGCGCAACTGTATGCAGCGATCCCGGACAGACGGTGATTCCGATGAGCAAGACTGCACATTTATATTAACCTCCGTGGTCCTCTCTTCCCTCTCTACCCCCAGGCCTGTCCGCAGATGGTGGGGCCAAGCGCCAGGAGCACCTCTCCCGGTTTTCCATGCCTGACCTCAGCAAAGACTCTGGAATGAATGTCTCCGAGAAGCTGAGCAACATGGGCACGCTTAACTCGTCCATGCAGTTCCGGAGCGCAGAGTCGGTTCGCAGCCTGCTCTCTGCCCAGCAGTACCAGGAGATGGAGGGAAACCTCCATCAGCTCGGCAACCCCATTGGGTACAGAGACCTGCAGTCCCACGGCAGGCTGCATCAGAGCTTTGATTTTGATGGGGGGATGGCCAGCAGCAAGCTGCCAGGGCAGGAGGGCATGAGGATCCAGCCCATGAGCGAACGCACGCGGAGGAGAAGTACCTCCCGCGACGATGGTCGCCGCTTCCGACCTCACCGCTCCAGGCGTTCCCGGCGCTCTCGCTCGGACAACGCCCTGCACCTGGCCAGCGAACGCGAGGCCATCTCTCGGTTAAAAGAAAGGCCCCCGCTCCGAGCCAGGGAGGACTACGACCAGTTCATGCGCCAGCGGAGCTTCCAGGAGAGCCTGGGCCAAGGGTCCCGAAGGGACCTGTACGGCCAGTGCCCGAGAACGGTGTCAGACCTGGCTCTGCAGAATGCCTTCGGGGAGCGCTGGGGACCCTACTTCGCCGAGTACGATTGGTGTTCTACCTGCTCCTCCTCTTCGGAGTCCGACAACGAGGGCTATTTCCTAGGAGAACCCATCCCCCAGCCCGCCCGCCTGCGATACGTCACGAGCGATGAGCTGTTGCACAAATACAGCTCCTATGGGCTCCCCAAGTCTTCCACATTAGGGGGCAGGGGACAGTTGCACAGCAGGAAAAGACAAAAGAGCAAAAACTGCATCATTTCCTAATAGGCTTGGGGTCAGGGAATGGGGGAAGATGGGAGCTAAGAATGTACATTCAGAAACTTGCACTGTTTTCCATTGTAAAGCGCTTTCGGGGTGGTGGCTAGAGGAGAAGAGGGAAATGCTGGCCGTGGTGGAGGCAAGGTTATAGACTGACTCAATAGGTAGTCCCAGTTCTCGGCATGTTGACTATTATTTGCACATTTCACTTTGGAAACGCTATAGACTCTGGAGGCCAGGGTTGGTCCCCTCCTTCCCGTCAGTCTGTGTTGAGTCGCCTTTCGCAAGATGGCAAACTGTTTCCCGCTCGCTTATATCCTCTCTGGTTCTCTTACTTTTAGGACCCTTTTTCCAGTAAGTAATTTGTTTATTAGCCAGGACCCAAGACTAAGTTATTTACATGTCCATTGTAAATGCAATGTAAATGAGAGTTCTGATAAAATATTTTTGTATTTTGTAATATCAAAGGAATTTCTATATCGTAGGACTCAGTGGAAATTTGCATGCACGCCCAGCGTTGTCTTTGAGTAGTACATTCAGAGGCGGTCCAGGACCACCTTTTTTTTTTTTTTTTTTTTTTTATACAAATTTGTTACATGTCAGTGAGACCTTTTTCAAAGGAGTTTATTCAATTTGACGTTTTGTGGCTGAAAAAAAAAATTAACCATTATCACCCAAAGTATTTTATGCTCCATTATACCTTAAGGAGACATCCTTAAGTCTGCTCCCGCCCTTGGTAGAATTTCTTCTCTACAAAGTGATAGTAATTTTTTTTTTTTTAATTGCAAACGTAACTTTTGCCAATTAGAGAAACCAACCAGTGTCCGTAAACTCCCGTGAGCAACGCCGTCCCTGCTGGGAACATTGAAGTTGCTTGCTGTTGATCTGTCCCTTGGGGAAAATGAAAGTGACTGTGAGTGGTACCCGTCGTGTGATGTCAGCATGACGTTGTTTTGAATGTGGCATTATTTTCTGGTGCTCATGTTTCCTGGATTATATTATCTGCTTTCCTTTACCAAGGCAGACAGAACAGCTGCCTTAGCCTGACAACCGGTTGTCCTCAGTGCAAATGAACTTAAGCAATAGACATGTAGAAGGTCCTGCGGGGCTCTGGGAAGGACGGGGTGTTCTAGATCGTACGTCATGCGTGGAGAAGGAACAAGGGAATTCGAAAGCAGAAAGCAGGTCAAGGGTAGAGACTGAAGGGGCATATGAAGGAAGGTCAGAGTAAAGAAGAGCTTCGGGAAATGAAGTAGAGTGGGAGGTGACCGCTACCTTGAATAACCACCCCCCCCCCACCCAGTGCTTGCAGAAAGAATCCAGTTTAACACGCCCCGTAACCAGAGTGTCTGGGTAACCCAGGAAAGGGAGCAGCTTGGGAGATTTCAGGGTGATGGCTTTGAAGAGCAGATGCTGTTCAAAGGGGGATTTCCGTGTTGAACTTTGGGGACTGTTGGTCAGACAGAAATTGGGCTCAAAAGTGAGTTTGCTTGAAGAAGACATTTAACGGTTGTGTTGTTTATAGTAAAATAAAACTTCCTACCTTGCTTCAGTTCACAATGAAGCCCTTGCTTTCTCTTCCATTCTCCTCCTCCCTTGAATGGATTGTAGCAGTTGAAATAATCCATCGGAGGACCCTCCTTTAGTAAGATGTACTGTTGATGTAGTACACGGTGTAACTCAGTGGCCATCTGCCGTGGTGAGGTGAGCGTGGTCTCTTTTCAGTATAGTAGTTAATATTTTCTAGTATTTTTTTTATGGAGAGAATGTGAGATGTGGCTTTTCAGACACCATCCCAAATGGGTCTGGGGAAAAGAAGGCTGTAAAGGACGTGGAAATGGCACTCCATTCAGGATGTATTAAAATAATTTGCTTTTCAGGTATTAATATGACATTTGTCATTGTCACTGATTTAAAAAAAAAAAAAGCAATGCAAATGTTGGTTGTGGCTGTTTTCCGCATGCTATCTTCATATCTAAATGCTTCATTACTTATCCAAGCCTCCGGAGAATTAACTCTATTACGTTTGTATAGTAAGTTTGTAAACTGCTTGGCAAAACTGATTAAGAAACAATGTGCAACACCATGCTACTGAAGTGGCAGGTTTCTGGTAGAAATCGGGCGAGTCCAATTTGGAGTTTGGAGTTCCTTGATTGATGAGAATGAAAAGGCATTTTGGAAAAAGAAAAGAGAGACAAAAGTAGATCGCTTAACATAGCAAACAGCTGAAAATCATGTCTGTCCTCTGTGGCCTGGAATCCAATGAAAGAAATTCTCCTGGTAAAAGCTGCTTTCTAAATCCATCCTCTCCAGAAGTACCCCCTTACTTTCCCCCCATGAGGCTTGAGGCACCCTCCGCAGGAAGAAGAGGGTGGCCTGAAATCGACCCGTAGCCACATCCCATGAAGGGGGTGGGAGGACTAAGCGATTTCAGAGCTAGCTGCCCAGGGGGCGTCCGGCAGCTCAACTGGCCAGAGCATGAAATATACTGAGATGGAAGCCTCAGGGTCACACTGTTTCTAACCAAGGTCACTTCCGTGTGTTCCATTGCGGCTTCTCCCCACCCCACACGCAGCCAGGCGCCTTTCAGACGATGCCCACGAGGCTGGTTAAATCATCACAAAGGTGATGGGACCTCCAAGTGAATGCCCCGGAGAGAGCAAGATGTCATGGTCGTAGGAATCCTACCTGTTCGTGATGACTTACACCTAACATCACAGAACTCCGTTCCTGAAAACTCAATGTGTTCTCTTTGGAGGCAAGAACTTGGGATCCTCAACTTATCCCTCTGTCATAACCATGAGCTCTTCCTCGTCAAGTTTTGCCTGTGAGTGGGGCTTACACTCACCTCTTCCTAGATCTCCTTGCATCTTTGATAGACCGTTCCAGAAAAGTAATTTTTCCTAGTTCCCTCTCATCTCTAATACCTTGGGTTTGCTTTTTCTACCTCTCTTCATATAGGTCCTCTTGGCTTTTGGTGAAAATGACCACTTTGGTTTTCAGGTCGTTTCTTATCGCTGCTCAACTCAGTGGCAACAGAACGGGCTCTTTTCCAGGAAGAAGTAGCCATTGACGGTTTCCTGAATGCCCCTGCCAATACATATGACCCTCGATACTGTGAAAGATTTTTTAGCAGCCTGGTGGCATGGAGGGTGGCGTTTAGGTACCCTTCCTTCTGTCCTATAGTTCCGTGAAGGTGAATGAGGTGAGGGAAAGCAGTACCATGCTCCCAGGTCCTGCGCAGGTTCAAGGCAGGTAGAGTTGTTGGATTGTTGTTGGTTGTTGGTTCTTTCTACATTCACCTTCTCATCACTAGTCCTTCCCTTCTGTCCTCAGCCAGCCCAGTGAACAAGCAGTTTTGTCTTTCCAGGAGGGGACCACAAGACAGCTCTTGCTCTTTCTCTCTCCCCATTCTGTAGGATGCTTTTGCACTGCAGCAAACTGTATTTCCTTCTCCTGCGGTGGTTTTCCACTTCTTGGGTCCCCCTCACCATCGCTGAGTTCAGGTGCGGCCAACGATGACACAGACATAGCACACGCTCTCCCATTCCTGCAGCGCGGCTGGTAAAGCCAGTGAATCTCACCACACTCTCCCAGGGAGCGTGGATGCAGTCTCAGAAATCTTTGTGACGCTCCAAGCACCCAGGATCAGTGGGTTAGAACTGAGGTCATTTGATAACAAATCTCATTTGGGAACTGATTTTTATCTGTCTTTCCATCATTTGCCGTTGGCCCCAAATGGCACACCAACCTTGTAGGAAGCATCATTCGTAAATGACTGTGAGAGCCCCCAATTCCTTTGTGGATGCTAAAAGTGGAGGCTGACTTCTTAAAGCAAAACAAAGACAAATCCCTTGGGCCTCCTTCTGCATTCCCATGTTCTTGGCCAATTATTACAAGCAGCCTTCTGTTCATCGTTTTGCAGAGGTCAGATAAGAGGCCATCTTATTCTTCGTCTAATCCCACCTTCTAACCAGAAATAACACAAATATTTAAATTCCAAGGAGAAGTGCTCTTTGTGTGTTTCTGTCTAACAGAAACCAGATGCTAATGCCTAAGACAGAGGATCTATCTATGACCAGAGGAGAGTGGGAAATGAAACCAGTTATCTATTTCATGCCAGAAGAGTTGCTGTTAGCAACCGTTTAGCACCTTCAAGGCTTTGAAATGGGCTCTACGGACAGCCTTCCAGCTGTAGGACTCAGCAAAACCTCCTGATTTTGAAGGCGGCTTCAGATTGCCGCCTTTTGAGGTACATCTCTCAAAGCACAAGGGAAGTAGAAATGAAGCCAGCTTTGCCTCGCCTCCAGTGCTGGGTCCCTTGGGGCCATCAGCAGACACTGGGGCTTGTCTTGTCTGGCCACTTGGAAGCAGTTGTCAAGGTTAGGACCAAGAAAGGATTGGATTCCTTTTCCATTTTCTCATAACAGTAGCCCAGTCAACACAAGACTGCCATAAACCATGACTCACTGTTGGGAGCGATACTCTTTTATAAGCTTACTTCCTGCTGACAAAGCTAGCTTTCCCCAAGGGGAATTTAAAAAGGAGGGAGCAAAGTCACATCGTGTAGGAAAACATTTCTGGTGATTGAGATATGATGAATCTGAAGGATAGAAAAAAGAATTGTTCTATCCTGGCAGTTTTCAGAGACATCCCTTCACCCTACTGGGCATTTGGCCATCCGTGTTCAATAGGTCACTGACCCACCTTTTTAAGATTTTTTGGAGAGAGTTACCCACTAGTAAGGTCTGTTCTCCAGCCTCTGGTTAATACTCCCGTGTTTCCCTAAAGCATTTTGGTTCTACGATGGGCCCTGACTTAACATTCTAAGGTCTACAAGTCCTTCATTTTCCTTAGGAAATAAGGACTTTGACAGTTTTCCCTCTCCTAAACACATTCTTTCCTGCACAGGATTGCTTTGCCCATCTCGTGCTTTAACTCCAAGTGCATAAACAAAACCTCAGAGGGTCTGAGAAGGTGAGGCAGGCCAGACTCTGTGTTGTTTGTCGAGTGTCAAGCTTTTTGTAAAGAAGGTCTGCAACGGGCCTTTGGTGTGGGCTCTGCCAGAGACTGTTGTGAACACTTTGCTTGAGATCCGTGCCCTGTAAAATGGATATGTTTTACTGATGTCTGTAATACATTTGTAAACTTCCAATAAAATTTGAATAAAAGAAATGTTGCCAATCTTCTCAGTCCTCCCTCCCTTTCTGGATTTCTTGAAATTGTTGCCTTTGAGCATCTCAACAAGGAAGACAGAGGCTACACGTGTCGGGGGATGAGATTTACTATGAAGGATGAACCCGATGAAATTGGGATTTTTGAGCTTCAGTGCTATGGTCGTTTCAGGCCAGTTCATTCTGGCAGAGAACGGGCCCATGCCTGGTAGGATGTTTAGGTCAGCAACATCATTGACCTCCCTACCCACCAGATGCCAGTAGCTCCCCTCCCCCTGAGATGTGACCACCCAAAAGCTCTCCATGCCTCATGCCCATTAGGATAGCTGCTATCAAAAAAATAAAGCCTAACTGTGGGGGGTGGGGGGAGGTGAGGAAGCGAAGAAATTGGAGTCCTTGTGTGCTGTGGGGGAGAATGTAAAATGGTGTATCCTCCGTGGAAAAGAGCACAGCAGTTCTTCCAAAAATGTACACAGGACCAAGAACACAGATGGATTGAGCCCGGAGAGATCTAAAGCGACCCACAGGAGCTGGTGCGCACGATGTCTCGCCCCAAACAGATTCCAGTTATCATTAAGCATTTGAAGGATGAATCCTGGGTGGCAACTTCTGTATGTTTTCTTTTGCCCTGCTGTCCTTTAGCAATTTTTGTCAATGTTTTATTTATTTGTTTCAGGGGCACCTGGGTGGCTCAGTCGTTAAGCATCTGCCTTCGGCTCAGGTCATGATCCCAGAGTCCTGGGATTGAGCCCCTGTCGGGCTCTGTGCTCCACTGGAAGCCTGCTTCTCCCTCTCCCTCTCCCTCTGCTTCTGCTTATGATCCCTCTCTCGCTCTCTCTCTCTCCATCAAATAAATAAATAGAATCATTTTTTAAAAAATGATTCTATTTATTTTAGAGAGAGAGCACAAGCAGAGGAGGGACAGAGGGAGAGAGACAAGCAAACTGTCCCCTGAGCAGGGAGTGCAACATGGGACTCGACCCCAGGACCCTGAAATCATGACCTGAGCCAAGGGCAGATGCTTAACCAACTGAGCCACCTAGGTACCCCCAAGCATTTAGCAACTGAATCCCCTCTTAACCACTTGTTTGTTTTATCATCTCGGGAAATGTGCATGTCTTCGCTGAGCCTCAGTTTTTATCTAACGAATGGGAGAGAAATGGTGTCCTGTGCACTTATAGAACTAATGCATGGAAATCTCTTAGAGCTGTGTCTGCCCCTGTATGAGCTCAAAACATATTATCTGTTGCTGCGATTACTGTCCTCACCATCTCAAAGAGAAAGAATCTCAGAAACCACTGGTATCTGGTCTAACAGTGCTCGTTTACTTTCATTTAACGTAAGCATTACACTGGTGTTAGAGACATCCCCGGGAGGCTTGAATCTTTACTCTATGTAAGAAATGCCTGCAGATAATATTAAACAAAACCAATCTCCTGGTCCTGACCACAGACGTTCTGGTTCAGTGGATCCGGGGTCGAACCCCAGAACCTGCTTTTCTAACAAGGCTTTCCATGTGTTTCCAGTCCCGCAGATTTGAGGACCACACTACTTGAGACTCTGCCTTAACATTTGCTTGTTTCTTTGTTTTCTTCCAAAACAGATAAACAAGAAGTCTGCCGGTCCCACCCACTTCAGGAGACTCTGATAACAAGTCCGTTGGTCAGGTTGGAAAGATCTGAGGCTGGGGTTTACAGTACAATTTTGGAGAATCTGGGGTATAGTCACTATCTCCCAGGAGTGACAGTCTTCACAAGTAGAAGGGTAGTTTAACTGTTCTTAATTTTTCTGAAATACATATATCTCATGACTGCATTGAAGATGGTGAGCTTATCGTGGATTTCAGCCTAACAACTGCGTTTGGGTCTGGGAATGGCTACTCTTGGCTCATAACCAGCGGCTTTCACGCATCAAAACTACCTGGGTAGATTATTTAAAATCCAGAGTCTCTGGCGCCCCATCCCTAGAAAGTCTGATTCAGCGGGTCTCCAGCAAGACTAGGAAAACTGCATTTTTTCCTAAGCATTCAGGGATCTGAGACCAGCCTTCAGAGAGACAGCTCTGAGCCTCTCTCATCCTGGGAAATCCATCCCCTGAGAGCCCTCCGTGCTGCCTGCAGTCCCGCCTGTGTTCCCGAGCTTGCTTCGGAAGGATCGTCTTCTCCAATGCTCATCTACCATAGGTGTAGACACTGGTTTGCTTCCAGCCCACAGTGAGACATAGCAGCCCCTAATTTTGTCTGAGAGAGATGTCAAGACAAAAGCCCCAGAAGGAAAGCTTCTCAGAAGATGTGACAGATAAACAGAAACACAGGCTGAAGTATGGGAGAGGGAGGATGGAGCCCTTAAAGGACACAATCCAACCCCACAGGAGAGGAGATGCTTTAAGAGTTTCCTCAGGAAAATACTGGCAGGTACTTTTTCCCCTGCAAGGCTGGTGATTCTAGAGACAACACAGATCATCAAGGAGGATGGCAGCTTTGGGCCACGAACACAGCAAGACAGCAAAACAGATGAGACCAGAAGTACCAGAAAGTAAACCCAAGAACTAGAGGAACTGGGGCAGCTATGTTAGGCCAGTTACTTCAAGTAACTTGAGCAAAAGGGAAATGGAAAGAGGGTTGATTTAGGGGATACTACGTGTCTTACAAGAAGCTAAGGGCAGCCCTTTCATGAGAGCCTGAACCAGGAAGAGGAGAGCCACCAAGAGCTGAGAAGGATTCTATCCCAATTTTTGAATCTGCTTCCCACCAACTGTCTGCTTAGTCGTCTGACTTTGCTTTTTTTCTGGGGAGCTCATGGACATATGGGGCTCCACGCAGCTCCTGAGTTGTCATTCTCCACATTTAGCCCCTTATTCTCAGGAAAAAAGGGCCCAAGTTGGATCAGGGGCTCCTTCCTGGTCAAATCATCTACTGGAGGAAAGGGGGTGACTCCTGGTGCTAGCATGCTGGCAAAGTGCTAGTTTTTGCAGGTGAGGAAACAGTTTTCAGACAGAGAAAGTCATAGGCTGAACAGACACCCCAAAATGTATCTCCTGTAAGAACTATCCTCATAACATCCCAAGGGAGGAACCAGGTCTATTATCTGTTGGCTGTATTTCTGAACAGTCACATGTCCGCTACTTACTGAATTGGAGGTACCTCTCAAGGGGAAGTTTCTACGGTCCCCCAGCCCCACGACTCCTGTGGGCCCAGGCTCAGCCAAGCATTGCCTTCAAAGAAACACAACCCAGGAACCAAAAACTGCTATAAACCTATACTTTGTCTATCAAATCTGAACTGTCTCTCAAGGAAATACTAAAGGAAGAGGTGAATTCTTCATGCACAGTGAATATCTTAAAATTCTCTCTCTCCCTCGCTCCCCCTGCCCATTCTCGTGCACATGGTTGCGAACATTTCCCCCAGATGCTCTACCCTAACTCTCAACCTGCGCCCCCCAAACACACCTAGTGCTCAGATCTCTTCAGTCCCACCTTCCCTTCTCCCTCACCTGCTCTTTATTCTGTAAATCAAATCGGCCACTCTCTGGGGGTTCGTTTTTACCTCTTCTTTGCTCACTACTCAGACTCCCTCCTGACGATGCTGCTTTTGACACTGGATGAATTTTTTTTTTTCTTCCCAGGCTGCAGGGACCAAATATTTCCTCTGACCGTAGCCTGTGTGAATTCCATCCAGCGGGTGGCCTCACGCCTGGTAAGAGGAGGGCTCTGGGAAAGTCGTTGTACCTGTTCTCATAGTCAAGACCCATAACCTAGGAAACCTTTGCGGTAGACAAGATCTCAGGTCTGGCCCCTGCTCTCTGTCTTCAGCTCATTTTGTCTCACGGAGATGCCTAGACGTGACTGTGAACATATATGCCACAACTGCTGGACAGCCCTGCATGAAAGTCCAACCAAATTCATCTTCCTGCTAACCGACGTGGTCTCTCCCTTGTACCTAGACCTTTGGATTTGCTGCTGTATCTGCTTTAAACACTCACGCTTCAGTCTTCAGCTCTTAGTGGACACAGATTTCCTTCATGATGAAAAGTTGTTGGAAAGTTGGAAATAGGTATCTCTGCCTTGGGCTCCCAGGGTCCCTGCATGTCCCCATCACCGTCTTGTAAGTTTACCCTCTCCTTTATAACCTGTACTCCGTGCAGGACGGTGTCCTGGTTGTCTTATCAGGGACAGGCCCTAGAAAGGAAGTCAGAAGGAAGATTCTTAAAAATTTTGGTTCAGTAAATTAAAAGGGCTGAGAGAGATCACGGGCTTAGTCTTTTACATCTTTGAGTGTCTGGGTTCCCTCTGAAGCTCCAACTTTCCTTCCGAGGCAAAGGCTTTTCTCTTCTGAAGGATGAGTTGCTGCAAGGCAAAATTTCACCTGCAGCCCCTGATGATCAGGTTGGCATTACTGAATTTCCCCCAAATTGGTATTTTTTTTAAACTCCAGCTAAGCATCGTGTTTTCCAATTTCAAAGAGTAATAGTGCCCTTGGACTCCATAATGAAGCAACCGACTTTTCGAGTATTATCAACTATAAATGCAAAAACTGAAGTCAAGGTCTCATGCCGCTGAATCATAAGCAGATGATTTATGATATAATGAAAGAACCATCCCTGGGAAGTGAAGGTTTAAGAATAATCAAATCCATATTGATCTGGAAAAATGCTACCCAGGAATAAACTTATATCAGCAAATGGAATAAATTACCATATTTCAACATACTTCTTTCATGGACCTAGTGCTAATTACACCACTGTTGTTTATTGGAAATGTGCCCGAGCAAGCCAGGACAGAATCAGGGCACCCTTCGTAGGTAATAGAAATCTACAGCTGAATTAGAAATAAATGAGATGGTACAACACTGAATAAAAGCCCCTGATGGCGGAAGAAACACAAAGAAAGACGTTGATGCTTTCTATCCAGTAAAGTGAGCCTATATTATAACTCTAACATAGTTTATTTCCTATATTCCTTTCATTTCAAAATGATTCCCAGATAAAGAACTCAGGAAATAAAGTGGCCCATTTATTTGC